AAATCCAAATGGTATTACCTAAAAGTGATGTGTATAAACAAACACTAAAACCATATAAGTGAAGGAGGGAACAAAATAAACTAAGTAAGACAAGTGAAGACCTAGAACTGAGAAAAGCCAGAAGAAACCTCTCAGAACGAGGAATGATATAATTCATACATGTAAAATCATTTGATATCGAGGTAAAAGGAGGTTAGGATTAACAGTCACTGAATAATGCAGTCTGCTAGATTATACAATAAAAAACATAATGGTTACCACACATCATATAGAATGTATTTATTTTACTATCTAGGATGTTTATGGGCTTGTTTAGCCATTGTAAGAAAGGAGTCCTGAACCATCATCCAACTAATCCACTGAGGATGGAATCATCTTCTATTCATTGGTAAAACATACTACTTGGTCCCACTCTTGCCTCCCCCAAATCTGACTAAGCTAGAAGAGGCACTTTTCTCTCTGCTGACTATAAACTCTAATGTTAAACAAAAGTTATTTCACATTTTTTAAAAATTTAAGTATTTTTTTACCTATAACGTATAGCAAAACTGAAATATAAGTATTGTCTGTATTCCATTACATTCTAAGTAGATAAAATAAACTAAATTTCTCAAGAGAGCCACTAAGGAATTTGAGGGTATCAGTATGTTGGTTTTTTTAGGGTGTTTGAGGGAAGATTAAGTGTTTAGTTTCTGTGATAAAGAGGAGACATAAAACTATTGTTTTCAGCATACAATAATTATTAATCATCTTGGTATTAGCACTGTTTCAGGCACAAAGAAATTAAACAAGAATCAGATTAAATTAAACAAAAGATCCAGAATATCAACATATTTGTCAACCAAAAATATGAGCAATGGGTCAAAGGTTATACTTACAAATTCTACATCTGGCACCTCCCTCCCCCCTGAAATGCTGTGATCAGGTTTATAAAACCTTCAATTGTTTGGGCACAAAATTTTTAAAGTGCAAACAGAATATGGGCTACATTTTGCAGACAGGAGAAAATATTAATTGACAGCTGGAGACTAAGGTTTAGGACATAAGTAAATATCAAAGGCTTAGCAACAGTAGAAGGTGATGCTTGTACAAGGAATTAAGAAGTTTATTTAGCTGGAGTGAAGGGAGAAAAGGAAAAGAAATGGAAATTGGAGAGTAAAAAGAAACAAAACTCAATGAAAGCAAATGGAGAAAATAAGGTATAGGTATACTGAGAGGGAGAAGAAAGAAAGGAAAAGAGGACTGCTGACAAAGTTATTTTTTAAGTCCAACAAAGTTATTTTTCTTCAAAGGCATACTGAATCCTTAAGCATGGCAGCCTGAAATAGTGAAAATAATAGCTGATATTTTATAGTGCTTTAATGTTTACAAAGTACTTTAACGGCATTACTTGTTTGTAAAATTGGGATATCTTTAGTACTTACTGTTACATGAAAAAATAAGCAGATGTTACAATGAAAGTTGTAACTCACTGGGAAAATTTTCTGAAGGAAGATTTGAAAATAACTTCAAATAAAAAAAAACAGCAGTTTGTATGATGTTAGCCAGTATTAGAGATGGCCATAAAAACAAAAAGGAGAAAATGAGAGATTGTATGTGACTAAACTAAAGAGAAGTGGTTTAAAAAGATATTCTCAAATTACCTAATGGACACTCTAGAAAAAATCTTAAAGCCAGATAATCTCAACTGCTTTGTTGTGCTTATTTGTTTTAAATTAAAATAAAATGGAGTATAAAAATCAGTTAGGTACTAATAAAGATGTTGTGGAAAAGATAACCACAAAAACAAATCTTTTTATGTTTGTAAGCACATCCACAACTTCACGCATTTATATTACTAAATATCTGATAACATTTGCCAGGGACAGAAGATTGCACACAGATTTCTAAGATAACACTGCCTCCTTCCTACTTTAGAAGGATGCCATCCATGAAGAACAGCTTCATATACCCATTTCCATTCCTCGATAACACCAGTTTACATTTATAATTTTAACATTTTCAAACTGCTTCAGAAATGAAATATGCAATATAAATACTTATTTTTCCCCTTTTTTGAAGTAAAGCACCTGACCAGGGGTGGGGAACCTGCAGCCTTCTAGGTCTTTGGGTGAGGCCTTTCAACTGAGTCCAAGTTTTACAGAACAAATCCTTTTATTAAGGGAATACACTTGAGGGCCTTGAGGCCACAGGTTCCCCACCACTAACCTAGGCCTTAGTCTTGTACTTTACCTCATGGATGTCAGCCTCTGATCTGAGAGTGGGGCCATGAACTCCAGACTTCCATTTAAAGAGGGAGCTTGGCTCAGAGAACATCTCATTTCTCACCTGGCTGCACTTTGCAGGGCCTTCTCTGACCTTTTCAACATGCCCCCACAGTTGGGTACTTTCACCTCCTCTTCCTCTGCTTTTGTTTCTTTTTTGTGTGCAGACTTTTTTTTTTGTATTCCCAGCATTTAGCAGAGTGTCTGGCACACAGAAAGCACTTGGTAAATGTTGACTGAAAAACTAACAACCTTTCACTAGACCCCACTTCCTAAAACTAAGCTCTACAGCAATCACCATCTCCCGTTATCTTCATTGCCTCAACTTCTTTAGGGACTTATGAACTCAAACTTCCATCCCCAAAGTTCTACTGAAACAATTCTCTACTAAGTCACCAAGAAACCCTATTGATTGTGTAATATTTCACAACTCTCCCCCCCCCTTTTTTTTTGGTAGACAATAGGGTTAAGAGACTTGCCCAAGGCTGGATTTGAACTCTGGTCCTCCTGACTGCAGGGCTAGTGCTCTATCCACTGAGCCACCTAGTTGCCCCTCCCCCTCCTTAAAATCTGATTCTCCCCTAACTTCCCAGTCTTATAAAATTATTGAACTCGGAGGGGCCTTACAGGCTTTCTAATTTTACTGACAAGGAAAATAAGGCCCAGAGATGTTAAGTGATATGCCCATGGTCACAAAGTTGGGATAGAGGTGAGACTAGAACCTAGCCCCTCTGATAACATCTCATTTGGCTTCGCTTCATAGATTCTAATGACAGCCAAACTACTCATCTCTAATGACAGCCAAACTACCCATCTCTCTCTTTCTGCCCTCTCCTCCCATTTTTCTTGTATTGTAGATTCTCTTCCCCTTGTCTAGAAATCCCTCCTACCACCTTTCCACCTGAAAAATTATTCTCAATCTTTAAGGCCCATCAAAGGTGTCACCATTTCAATGAAGTGATCTCTCTCATATTTCTTAATGTCTCAACCTGCTTCCTCCCATTTACCACATTCTACCCTGCTTCACTCTGTGTACCTATGCCCCTTGAAAGTTCCTTCAGAGCAAGGAATATGTTGCATTTCCACCTTTGTTGTCACTAATGCTGTCACAGTGCTTTGAACATACAATCAGAGATCAGAACTGGAAGAGGCCACCTCCCACTTTACAGATGAAGAAATTGAGGCTCAGAAAGAATAAGTAACTTTCCCAGAGGCCCAAAAAGAATGAGTACTTGCCCAAAGTCACTAAGTAGTAAGTCCCAGATCCAATATTTGAGGTCCTCTGCCTAAATCTGGCATTTATTTCATTACACACATAAGGGCCTTAATACTGCTTGACTTGGATCAAGAGATGTTACAATCTTGGCTTTACCACAAACCATCTGGATGGCACCAGGTGAGTCATTTAACCTCTACACCTTTCTTACTCATTTGCAATATCCTATGTCACAGGATTGTTGTAATTACTGAGAAAACATAACTTGAAAGAACTGAAAAATAAACTGAAAAGCAGTATAAATGTTAAATGACTCTTACAAACTATAAACAATTATCTGGCTTTCGAATAAGAAAATCTTAATTACTGAAACAAGTACATAATTATGAATTTTTACATGGCTCCAACATGCTTTCAGTCACTTTAAGAGATATTCCTCTTACCACAAACTTCACCTTATGTAGTTTTTAATCATCAACTAGCACGTATTAAGCACCTACTGTGTGCCACTGTGCTAAGTGCCAGGGACACAAAGAAAGTAAAACAAAACAGCCTTGCCTTCGGGGGAGGGGGTGGTGTGGGGTGTGGAGGGACAACACGCAAACTACGTACGAAAAAGACAGTACAAGCCACTAATTTTTAGGAGACCAGGAAACGCCTCTTAATGTAGAATGCTAGATTTTATGGGACAGTCTTGATGGAAAGTCAGGGGGCAGAGATCAAAAGAGAATGCCAGTCATCGGGGGATAACCACTGGAAATGCCCTGACTTGGGAGATGAAGTGTCTTGTGTCAAGAGGAATTTTTAGAGGTCCAGAAGTACTTCTTTTTTTTTGGACTGCTCCATGAATCGTTTAAAATACTCCAGCTCCAGTCTCACCTAAGAGCATTCTATTCAAACCCATAATCCTGGGGAGACTAAAGGTCTCAAGACCCGATTAACTAAACCTACTGCTTTAATGCTCCCCTGCGCTATGACAACATTATACTATGCTATTCCGGCGACCAGAGGGAAGCTCTCGCCCCTTCTCGGTACTGAGGCTGAGGCTCTGCCGCCAGCACCCGGCTCAGGGCGGGGGTAAGGGATCGGCGGAGTTTCCACTCCAGCACGGGAAAGCCCTGGGAGAGGCCAGACTGCCCCTGGACTGGCTGGCGAGGGTGGGCGCGGGGGGCAGCCCCTCACACCACGCGGGGAGGGGGTAGGACGGGGCCGACCCCCATCTCTACATTAACCGCTCACTTCGGGATCAGCCGGCAACGGGACACGGAGCCCCGCTGGGGGGTGAGGCGGTGGACAGGGGAAGCCTGGGGAAAGGCGCTCGCTCCGCAGCGCCCCACCCCCGGGGAGGGGAAGGGGAAGCGGGGTGGAAGGGGGACCAGCGCCCAAAGAGGCGCCGCCGACGAATCCTTTCCCCAGACTCCCAGACCCCCTCCCCCCAGCACCGCCGCCGCCCCTTCTCACCCCGGCCCCGTCTCCAGAGGAACAGCCCCTGTAGCCCAGGGCCTGGCCCAGTCACTCACCAACATCCTGCTCAAAGGGATTAGGCGTAAACAAAGGCATCTTGCCGCAACCGGGTCTGCTCCAGGTAGGGCGCGATAAGGGCTGCAGAGGCGGCGGCAGCGACGGCGACAGATCCTGGCCCCTCTACTAAACCCAGAGACCGCCGCTTCCTCGACGGTCCTCCGGCCCAGCCTCAGCACTTCCGCAAATGGAGCTGCCCTTGCTCGTGCCTGATCCCAAGGGGCCGAGACCTCCTCCCGGAGCCTCCGGCGCTATGCCTTTCCTAGGCTAGACCCCAACAGGCTGTCAGCTTTCTTTCCCCGCTTCCTCCTCCATAAGCAGGTCCAAGGGAAGGCGACTGCCTTGACTCCAGAGTCACGCGGTCTTCAGGCGTTAGCCTTAACCATTTTCGGATCTCGAGGACCCCTTACGGAATAAGGACCTTCGAGGACCGGAAGTTGTGACAGGAGTCTGGAAGCTGAGCGTCAGGGTTGGCTAGAGACCGGCACAAAGGTCTATTGGTGGCACCAGGGGGCGCCAATGCCCAGGCTTTCTACGACGTTGCTGCGCCCTCTCGGGAACCTACCGGGGTAACATCAATCCATAGGCAGATGAAACAACACAACCTAACCCATACTCGGCCTCCTCCATAGGCCCTGGGTTCCCGGGAAAAGGGGGTGAGAGCCGGCATGATCGATGTAGTGGGAAGAGCACTGAGCTAATGAGACCCAGGTTCAAATCATGGTGTTGACATTTGACTAATTGTATGATCAGTTAAAATTTTGAAGCCTCTGGTTCCTCCCCCTTGAAATAAAGAAGTAACACTTAATTTGCAGGGCAAAGAGGAAAACGCTAGGTGTAGCGGCAGGCTTTGGATCAGACCTCTCCAGGCTAGAGGTGTGTCTTCCAGGACTAGCTGCAAGGGCTTCTGGGAAATGTAGTCCAGGGATGTTTCTCCCCTCTCGGTGGGAGGAGAGACTCCAGTATTTCTAGTTGTGGGGACTGGGGGCGCGCAGAGGGGCCGGGGCCACCTGAGCTGGGAGGTTCCGCTGGCTGCGTCCAGTTCTGAGAGAGAATGCAGATTATACTGGCGTTTGGAGGGAGAAGACCAGACAGACACGGAGCCGGAGATTTCAGTGGGAATCGGGAAAGAGACAGGAGCTCCAGCAGGCATTGTGCAGTGCGAGTCTAGAAACTGGGAAGCTGCACATGGAGGGGCAGCCACTGGGATGGGATTGCTGCCCGGGCCCCGAGTGCTGGAGCTGCCTCCACTTTAAGCAGCCAGAATGGGACAGTTGGAGGCAACTGATAAAAGAATTAATGATTAAACTATTTATTAAGCCTTTACAATGTGCCAAGCACTGGGCTAAGCTCTGGGGATGCAAAGAAAAAGAGACTTTTGGGGTAGACATGGACTAATGGGGGAGACAACCTGCAGACAATTATGTGCAAACAAGATATATATAGCATAAATCGGAGATAATCACAGAAGGAAGACACTAATATTAAGGATGGTGGGATTTTAGCTGGGACTTAAAGAAAAAAAGGACAGAAATGAGGAGGGAGGAGCCTGAGGAACAACCAGTGAAATGTGGGAGACGTAGTGCTGTGTCAGGAGCAGCAAGATTTTATATTTGATCCAGGAGGTAATAGGAACCCACTGGAATTTGTTAGGGTGCTGGTCAGATCTTCGTTTTAGGAAGATCACTTTGACTTTTTTGAGTGGAGGATGGACTGCAGTAAGGAGAGACTTTGGGCAAGGAGACCAACCAGAAGGTTATTGCAATAATCTAGCTGTGAAGTGATGAGAGTGGTAGCAGTGAGGAAAGAAAAAAAAAGGGAGCATATGAAAGAAATTAGAATCAGCAGGATTTGGCGACAGTCTGGATGAAAAATGAGAGAGAATGAGTCATCAATTGGTTTTGAGCCAGGGTGACTCTAGTAAGAACAGTGGTACCTTTGACAGTAACAGAAAAAAAAGATAAGAAGGCTTGGGAAAATAAGATAATGAGTTCAGTTTGGGACAAGTTGACTTTAAGATGTCAATGGAATCTCCAGTCCAAGGTGTTCATTAGGCAATCAAGAAATGTAAGCATAGAAGTTAAAAAGGTTAGGACTGATCAGATAGATGATAAGAGAATCATCTACTTAGAGATGATAATTGAATCCTTGGGAGTTGATGAGATTACCAAGGGAGATAGTATAAAGAGAGAAGATGACCCAGAACAGAGTCCTGGGAAATACCCACAGTTAGTGGGCATAATAACCTGGATAAAAATCCACAGAGGAAGCAGTCAGATGGGTAGAAAGAGAACCAGGGAAGTGAAATATGTTTTCCTCAGAAGTCAGTAGGCTCTCCCATTGAGTTCAAAGGACCTTGCCCACTCTTGAGTGAGAGATGGAGTAGACTAAGGAAAAATCATGCCCCCTAAACCAACTGAAGGAGATGAGAAAAAGTGGTGCAACCCACATTTGGAAGATGGGGGAGCTAGCTAAAGAGGGAAACTGGTTTACCTCTGATAATTCCCACTCCAATTCTGCACAAGCTCTAATATTTGTAAACCTTAAAGTCCTATACACTACAAGGATATTGATTTCATGGATGTGGGTGCTGATTCCACCAAAAGAGATTATAATTCCAGTCACTTGGGAGAGAGCTTTTAAGAGTTACTCTGGGCTTAGATTCTTAAAATCTAGCCAGTGCTCAGATTCTTATAATCTAGCCAATAGCTCACTAATGTTCAGACTCCTTAAGAGTCTGCCCAATATGATGGATGTTCTAATAAACCTTGTCTTTGGATGAAAGAAGGCTTGGGTCAAATTCATTTGGGCAGGACCCATGTCTTGTGATTTTGAGGTCCAAGCACCCCTAAACTCCTAAACCTCAACATTTTGGTGACCCGTACGGGGAAACTGCCTAACCCCACGTTCTTCTCCAGCCAAGACTGGAAGGTATGTAAGCCTCCCCCCTCCCCTCCTTTCTTGCTCTGCAGTTGGGGTCACTCTCCAAGCACCAAGGCGTGGAGGTGCTTTTTGGGCAGACAGTTACAAGGTGGTCTGGAACTCAGCCTGATGCTGTCAGGCTCTCGGTCCACTGGTTCGGTTTGAGGCCATGGACCTGGGTACACCTTCCAAAGCATAAAGGAGAAGGACGGATTCTCTACCCGGAAGCCTATGCCCAATTCTGTCAATTCTCTCAGCACTAGGGAATTGGGGGAAAATGCAATTACTTTTTGGTTCCCTGAGGCTTACTTAACTCCCCTCTACACTCCTGAATCCTCCTTCATGGAGGTTACAGGGAAAAGTTAGAACAGCTAAAAATATCTTAGTAGATTCTGGAGGTTTTGTGATTGATCATTAAGGAGTTTTGAAACACCTCTGTACAACCTGATCACTCCCTTCCCTTGAGTCAAGAGGGTATCTGTTAACCCCTCTCATAGGAGAAGAATTTTGCCCTTTACCCCTCACCTTTGATTTTTCCCTCCCCCCACCAGAGAAAGGAAGGAGAGGGGAGGGGCAGCAGCTACAGCGTGGGCCCTCTGGGCAACCTTTACCTAGAAGCATCACCCAGGTTCTACACATCGTGCTCAAAGGAAAGAAGCTGGCCTTCCAACTTGGGTAATCATGCTTTTTTTTAAAGTTGTATTTTTAACTGTTAATGAGATGTGGATTCTCTGTGTAAAGTAATTTGGAAACATTTAAGAAAACTGAAGTCACCTGATTCGTAATGGGTTTGTTTCAAGTTTCAAACTGGTGACCTTTTTGTGTCAGTTATGTCAAGCAACTTTTCTTGATTTGGTTAGTGCTAAAATAATTTGGCTATTGTTGGTTATTGTTTTGATGTGTAAACTTGGCAAAAAGCTTGTTTGGGTTTTGTCTTGCTAAGAATTTGCAATTATATAGGAATAATCTCTAATGATTGGCTTTTTATGCCAGGAAGAATTTAAATTTGAGATGTAAGTCCTGGAAAAGTTTTTCCTAAATTATGATTAGTGAAACTTGCTGTTTGAGGTAAAAGCTCATAGGATTTTATTTTGAGTTGTCTGATGGGTCATAATCCATCGAAAATCAATAATCCACCATCTGAGAGAAATACCACAAGCTACTCAGAGACTATGATACTGGTAGGAAGTCAGCATTGGGAAAAGTTGAGAGAACAGTTTTAGCTTCAGTCTAAGATGGGATCCTCCTGGCTCAGTTTCCCCCATTATGTTCCTTTGAAAGGGAATGTTACCCACCTGGCTATTCCTGAGTCTGGCTATGAGGTGGATTTGATACTGATGAGGTTGGGATCTAGATCCCAGAAAGGAAAAACCCTGGACTTTCCCACATGGCCAAATCTCTGGCTTTTGCCTGAGGCTATAATTCCATCAACTGACCTTTCATTGTGGCTACATCCAATCTCCCAATTCTGTTACCCATAACCTAGGCTAGCCTTCCTTTGCCTTACCTCCCTATGGCCCCCAGCCATTTCCCACCCTTAATCCTAGCTAGGCTCCATTCTCCCTTGGCCACAAGGTCCAGGTCCCAGGAGTTCTGTTCACCCCAGCTTACAGGCCCCTCCTAGGTCCCTTCCACAGTCTTTCTGTATATAAGGACCACCTTGTCTCCATTAAGATGCTTAGATTCTTAAAATCTAGCCATTGCTCAGATTCTTATAATCTAGCCAATAATTTACTAATGTTCAGAATCCTTAAAAGTCTGCCCAGTATGACAGATGTCCTAATAAACCTTGTCTTTGGCTGAAAGAAGGCTTGGGTCGAATTCTTTCGGGCAGGATCCAAATGTTGTGATATTGGGGTCTCAGCACCCCTAAACTCCTAAACCTCAACAATACTGCATGGGTGGAAAACTGAATTATCTGAATCCAAACAGAGCTAAGGACATTTTATCCTGGGCCCTAAATCTAGTCCCTGCTTTATATCTGGGCCATGCAGTCTTTTCTGTCAGATTTGTGTCTTCCAGGCTATAGGCCATTCACCTACAGTAGGTAGCAAACATCGAGTACCAGCCAATGTTCCCCCATTGTTCCCTGGATGCAGCCTGTGCTTGGTTCTAGTCAGCCTTCTCTTTGGGACTCCCTCAAGGCAGGGACAGCTCTACGCCCCTTGCCAGCAGGAAGCAGTTTCAGAAGCCAAGACCTTCACCCTTTACTCCAAAAGAATTTGGGTCCCCTTTGTTTGAGGGGGGAATGATGAGGATGGAAGCTAGACCCCAAAAAGGAAAAACTGTGGACTTTCTCACATGGCCAAATCTCTGGTGTTTGCCTGAGGCTATAATTTCATCAATTAGCCTTTCATTGTGGCTACACCCAATCTCCCAGTTCTCTGTTACCCTTCACCTAGCCTAGCCCTCCATTTTCTTACCTCCCTGTGGCCTCAGCCCACTTCCTACCCTTAAAACTATCTAGGCTCCATTCTCCCTTGGCCTCGTGGTCCAGGTCCCTGGAATTCTATTACCTCATAGACTTCTTGGCCACTCCTTGATCCTTCCCATAGTCTTTCTGTATATAAGGTCCATCTTGTCTCCATTAAGGTGCTCAGATTCTTACAATCTAGCCAAGAGCTCACTAATGTTCAGACTCCTTCAGAGTCTGCCCAATATAACAGAAGTTCTAGTAAACCTTGTCTTTGGCTAAAAGAAGGCTTGGGTCGAATTCATTTAGGCAGGACCCACATATTGTGATTTTGGAGTCCTAGCACCACTAAACCTCAACAATATGACAAAAAAAATCTGAAGTAAAATTGATAATAAACTACAATTTCACAAAGAAAAAGAGTTACTCTGACCAAAAATAATTCATTACCCTGTGGCCAAATTGGTGATGAGCCCCTCCAAATTTAGCTAGGTTTATTCTCATACCATAGGCTTATTATCTGGCATCCATCCATGCTCTTTTGCATACTGCACTCTGGCTGGCATGGCATAGCATAGCCTCTAAGAACCCAGGATCACCTCCACAATTTGAGAAGGCATCAAGTAAAACTTTTCTGGAGCTATACAAATTCAGAAGGAAGGAAGGATTTATTAAGCACCTACTATATGCCAGGCTTTACAAATATTATCTCATTTGATCCTCACAACAATACTAGGAAGTAGGTGCTATTTACATATAGCTATTGTTATTACATAGTTATTTTTATATAACTGTTGTCATTCTCAGATGCTTATCTGTTCCACATTCAACTCCTTCTTTTAAATGCTTTATTAGTAAATTTGCAGATTCATTACTCTTCATTTGTCTTTTGTGTTAATCAAATATATATATATATATATATATTTTAGTGAGGCAGTCGAGGTTAAGTGACTTGTCCAGGGTCACACAGCTTTAGTAAGTGTCAAGTGTCTGAGACCAGATTTTTCTGTATATAAGGTCCATCTTGTCGCCATTAAGAGGCACAGATTTTCACGGTCTAGCCAATAGCCCACAGATGCTCAGATTCCTTAAGAGTCTAGCTAATATGGCGAATCTTCAATAAATCTTGTTTTTGGCTGAAAGAAGGCTTGGGTTGAATTCTTTCAAGCAGGACCCAAGTATGATTTTGGGATTCCAGGACCTCTACCCTCTAGACCTCATCAACACTCTTCTCCAGAGTCATCTGAGTCCAGTGGCAAGACATAGATCAGGATGATTGGCAATGGCCCCTGGATGTAGTAGGAGACCTTGACCTTTTTAATCTAAGGTCTTTCACAGGTCTTAGTTTGTCTGAGGCAATGTATATGTCTATATATGAACTGAATGTCATAACTACCAATTCTTAAGAGGAAAAGATAACCGAAATGTAAAAAGACAGCTAATAAGACATTAATTGTAGGTGTCCTTAATGTTCTGTCAGAGCTTGACAAATTCAACAGAAAGATAAGAAAATTAAAGATAAACATAAGGATAGAAAAACAATTTGATAGGTGACTCTTGGGGAGATGACCACATGAAAGATGAAAGGGAGCCCAACTCTCCCACTTTTACTAAGTAGTTCAACATATTGAACAATGACCAAAAATCCAGAGGAAACTTCATAAACCAGCTTAGGACTGAACAAAAAGAAAATGAAAAGTTACGTAAATTGAAAGCAAGGTATTGCACATACCACACACCCCCATAAAAAGTTTTTTAAAATGAAAATAAACAAAGTAGAAGTCCTGAATGTGGAGGCCCCTTGACAGATAAGATAAGCCTTACAGGCATAGAAAATACAGTACCTTGACTAAGAGTTTAGAAAAGTCTAGAAAAGGCAGTGGACCATGGGAGAGCCTTAGTGGTAGCACCCGACCAGAAACTAGAGTTGCAACAATAGTGGTGACTGGGAAAACCAGGGGAAAGAGAGAAGGGTAGTAGTCTTGAGTAGCACTTTGGCTGGGAACAGCCAACCATGGAGCTCTGACAGAATCTGGAGCCTGCTAGAATCCTGAGCCCAAGCACACAAACAAAGTACAAAATTAGGGCAGAAACCAAGGGAATCAACATCAAGACCAAAAAGGATCCAGCCACCTCCATTCAAAAATGTGGAAGGGGGCTGAGCCTAGCGCTGAAATAAATCTCAAATCAGAAACTAAGGGTGGAGATGGAAGACAGAGAATAACAAAAGACACCAAATTCTATAAAGACATATTGTAGATGAAGAGGAAAATCTAGAAGAAAAAAATAACTCCACAAAAAGTGAAAGCATAAGAACTACAAGAGAGAAACATGATGCAAAGGGAAAAAATTGGAGAATAAATGACTTAGAATAGAAAGTGGAAAACTTTATTCAAGTAACAAACTCCTTAAATATTAGGATGAACCAAAGAGAACTCAATGACTTCATTAGACAATTAAATGTATAAGGTGTCTTAAAAGTCTTATTGTGGTTTGAAACTACTAAAGCCTCAAACTGCACTAAGACTTTTGGGACACTGTAATGGAACAAAATTTAAAAATGCAAAATAGAAGAAAATATAAGTCATCAACTATCAGAAACAACTAGCCTAAAAAACTGGTCAAGGAGAGACAATTTAAGAATTTATCTGAAACTCTTTAAAAACAATGACAAAATGAAAGCATTGATGCCAACTTTTTTAAAATCATAAATGTAAATTACTCATATTTATTAGAACCAGAGGGTAAAGTGGAAACAAAAAGAATCCACCATTTACCTCTTGAAAGAAACTTCACTAACCCCCAGAAAACTCTCCTGAAAACATCCTCCCAAAAACTTCCAGGAATGTCATAAACAAAATTCAGAGCTTCCAGATCAGATCATCAATCAGACAGAAAGGAGCTCAGATACCAAAGTACTAGAGTCAGGATCACACAAAACCTGACAGCTACTAAGTCTTGAAATACAATATGCCAAAGAAAAAGAAGACTTAAAACCTAAGTTCTTATATTAATAGGGGAAGAAAAGATAAGTATCCCTTTGGAATGCTAATGTCTTAAAACGTTACCTTGGGCATTAAATAAGACCAGCAGAAAGATGAAGTTGACCTTGAGAGAGAAGAGAAAAGGGAATACACTAGGAAAGAAATGAAGAAGGTAGGAAACTTACTATTTCTCATATTTGGGATATACTAGATTATACAAAAATGGAAGAATGGGTAGGGGAAGTGGGCATCTCACGAACCTCACTCTTAACTAGAAGAAGGAGGGTTAAACGCGCTCGCGCACGCACACACACACACACACACACACACACACAGAGTTTGGTATAGTAATACTTAAAAAGAAAAGTGTCAGGCATAGGGGAAGAAGAGATTTGTGGAGGGGATGGCCAAATTGCTGTGTAGCCACACCTCTTGTACTTGTAAAGCTGATTGGATGAGTGGTTCTGCCTTCTCTCTGTTATCTGCCTGCTATCATCTGCTCAGGGCTCCTGCAGTAGTCCTAGGCCTTTGACATTTCTGCTGTACTCAAAAGTGTTTTTAAAAGCCCTTTTTCTTTTTCTTAGTATTCATCATAAGCCTCAACTCCTTCTGAGTTTTAGTGTTCTTAAGAATATGTTTTGGGGACCATACCATTCTTTTATACGTCTTCTTTTATTTGTTCTTCTTGCCGTCTTCCATATGTTATGGACATTTTTTTTTTCAAACTGCAAGTCAATGCATCGCCATCATTCTGTCTAGATGGTTCCTCTCTTGCTTCCTTGTCAGAATAACATCATCACAGTTTCTTTCTTGAGAACTCCCCATGCTTCTTGAACATTCTTTGTCAATAAAATTTTAGGTTGCAGGATTCTACTTATATGTTTTCTGTAAAAAAAAAAAAAAGTTGCTTTTCCAAAATCTAGAATATGCTTACTACCTTTCCACTCCTGCTGTACTAGAACTCTTCCACAGTTCTACAATCACAGCATTTTCACACTGAAAGGGACTCTATAGCCATCTATTCTACTCTGCACCTCAAAAAGGATCTCCCTTACAATGTAAAAATAGTTAACATGTGTATTACTGTGTGCCAGGCACTGTGCAAAATTGCTTTATAATGATTTTGTCATTTGATCTTCACAACTCTGAAGGTATTATCCCCATTTTACAGATGAAAAAACTGAGGCAAACATCAAGTTAAGTGATTTACCCAAGGTCACACACCTACTAAATGTCTGAACTCAGTTTGCCTGGTGCTCTATCCACTGTACCACTTATTTGCCCTCAATGTACACAACAAGTTCTCATCCAGCTTTTGCTTGAAAACATCCACTGAGAAGGAACCCACTACTCTTCTACTTTTGAATTGTTCTCATTGTCCTGTAAATTATTTTTATTGCTATTTTATATTTATAAAGTACCTTCACTTCCCAATATTTCTCTTCTTCCTCCCCCACCCAAGAATTAAAAGAAAAAGGAACAGTTCAGTAAAACTAATCAATATATGAAATCTGACAGTATATGTGTTCTTCCAAAACCAGACCCTCTCCTTTTCAAAGGGGAAGGAGTGCATCCTCCTATCTCTTCTTTGAGGTCAGCTTTGGGGTCAACACAGCACTCTTTCAATTTTTCTGATTGTTTTTCCCCATTTCAATGCTGTAACTATTGTGTGTATATATCTATGCACACATATATCTATATTTCTTGCTTCTGCTTAGCTTACTTTGTTGTTATTGTTATTCATCCTTCATTTTCAAAGAGGATCAATGATATCCCAAGTGATACCTTGACTTGCGTGTGAACTGGATATAAGTGAGCAGAATTGAACAAAGTAATTAGCCCTCTTCTCTCTTCCAGAGTCATCAAAGTCCAATAACAAACAAAAGTCAGGATAACTGGCAGTGGCCCAGGATACAGCAGATGACCTTGGCATCTTTGATATCTGACCAAGCTCTAAGCACCCATGGTGCCTGCTTCAGCCACTTTCATGGCCATTTTGCTGGGGGATGTCTTTACATGCTTAGGGTAGACATCTCCCATTACCAAGAGGTTTGAGTCCTGTCTATTACCCTCAATCTGGTTGAGCCCATCTGTTGAGACAATTTTACCAGAATCTGGATGTGCACATGCTACAGCTTCTTGGAGCCACAGGTGAGAGTTGGGTAAGAGATAGACACCAAAGGTGGATAAGCAACCCTGAAAAGGGCTCAGCAAGCCCTCACACCAGAGGTGCTAGTCCTCCCTGAACACCCCAAATCTTGGTTCACTGGTCTTCCCATCCCTCTCTATTCTTCATATTTATTTTTTCTTATTCCACAGTAATATTTCATCACATTCCTATGCTACAAAAATTTATTTTGTTATTCCCCAATCTGCAGCAATGATGGAAGCAACCACCTGTGCCTCATTAGGTCTCTACTTTCTTAGGACTACAGAGTCCCTACCATTGCTTTCTAGTTTCCTTCTGTTGGCATTATTTTTTTCACATGGATCACCAGAAGTGGGTAGTGGTCATCAGGTATGACCATCATATCCTAACTATATGCCCCAGGAATCTAGCAAGGCTGTCTACTCTTCATACTCAGTTACTGCATGGTTGCTTCACTGTCCCCTCAGCAGGGAGTCCTTAAGCATCACTTATTACTCTGACCAGTGCTGGGAGTCTTCCTTTCTGGTTTCACCAACAGATCCAAAGCAGCTGCTTCTCCCAAAAGATAAAAATAACTCTACTCGAAGAGTTACAGCTATTACAGATTTCTAAAGGTTTGATGGTCCTTCTAACCTTCCTTGTCAGTGCCTTAGCATACATTAAGATACCCCTTTACCTCTTCAGGATCGATTGTTTATTTAAGGGTTTCTTCCATTCTTTAAAGGAAATCCTCATTCTCCCTAATAATCTGAAGAGTAGAGAAGTCTGTCACTTACTACTTGGTTCATTTAAATCACCAAAGTGATTGTCACTTAAGTTCCTTGGACCTCAGTTTCCCCATTTCTAAAATAAAGGGGTTGAACTGGATGGCATTTGAGGTTCAGCTCTAAATCTATGAGCCTATGATCCTAATTATTCCTCCTGCCTTTTCTCCTTCTCTCTTAATATGGAGATAAACTTGCATTTTGTTTTTTGCTGGGTATTGAAAAACAAACTTAGTATACTCCCGGCAGGTCATTGAAAAGTTCCCCTTGCCAAACTCCTCCGTATTTGCTAGGAAGCAAAGCCCTCCATTCTCTGTTATTTTTGTGACCCTGCTGGAGACCTCAGGTACCAGTAATGAGTGATTTCGATTCATCCTTCCATATTGCTGGTTCTCTGCTTCTTTGTCTTCAGGCTTTAGTGAGGAGCTCAGGAAGAGAAGTGAGGCTTGTGAGGGTAGTAGGAAACTATCCCATCTACTAAAAGGGGTAGCAAAGGACCTGTGCTGGTTCTGTGTGAGCACCAAGTGAGATCTGGGGAGTGGAGGTGAGAAAGGTGACATCATTACTGAGGGAGGAATGACCGCATTGTTGGGCTGTGCAACCCTGAGGGTTCTGTCTCTCTCTCTCTCTCTCTCTCTCTCTCTCTCTCTCTCTCTCTCTCT